TTGAATTCCAGTAATTCTTTTGTGTGTTCATTTGTAGACGCATATGTTTACCTGAAGCGTTCTTAACAGCGGATATTCTCTTAACTACATTACAAAATGTATCAGAAGGTCTTGTGGTTTACCCGAAGGTAAGCAATATACACATTTATATAAATAAGGAATTACCCAACCTACACGTTGATTTAAAAAACAAAATTACTGTGAAAAATGAACTAGCCTTTCATTGACTTACTCTGGCTGCTGATGGAAGATGCATTGTGGTACATCCAACAATTTTCATTTAACCAAGAAGCAATAAACACAGATTTAACAGAACATCACCTCCTTCCTTTCACGGCTTCACTTTGCATGCTGACAGATAATTTTATGCAATATGATATCTAATCTTAATTATATTTGAAAAGTTGGATGCAAGTATAACTAAAATACCTGTAAATCTAGTGTATTGCATGCAGCTTCAGATTCAAAAATACACGGTTTTAAGAGGTTTAGTGATGTATTGATGTCTGTCCACAGGGGTTTCTAACAAGCAATGGAACTTGATAAATGGCGCCCTCTATTGTTGTACTTTTAATAAATGGACATATGATGTTATGACGACTGTATTTGTTCTACCCCTGACATTTTATCAAGTATTGCTATAATATCAGATATACAATATTTGTAGGTTATAGAGCGTCATATAAAACAAGAACTGCCATTCATGGCAACAGAGAATATTATAATGGCCATGGTGAAAGCAGGAGCTAGTAGACAGGTATGTATATTATTTATCCTTATTTTATACTACATACTATGTATAAATCACCTGATTTGCATATAAGACAGCCAATTTTATCCATTTTCACTTGCTTCTCATGTACCATTGAACAGTTTTCATTGAAACATACATAGATGCACTGGGGGATCATGTGCATACCTGATTAATAAATTGGTTGAAATCAGTGCATATTAATTACCTAATTTACATATTTGACAATTTTATTATTTTCTCATGCTTCTCAAGTACCATTCAACAGATTTTAATGAAACATGGTACAATGTACATAGCTATTGTCAAAATAACACATATTTCAATGATTTTGCATGCAATAAACACAATTTTGTTCAGTTTCTAGTATAGTAAATATAGTATTTCTTATTTGTAATTCATGCCTCTAAACATTCACCACACAAGAGTTTTTTCCAAGCTTTCTTTGATTTTTGGAATGTTTGGTATTTACCTCATAAGAGATCATATTGAGAAAGTATGAACAGGGACTGTGTTATTTTCAATAATTGTTGAATGGTTGCCATTTTGTTTCTGTTATGCTTTGTTTTTCATTTAAATATTAATTTACTCATTTGCACTTCTATATTAGAACTTACACTGAACATGAGCATTATTTTGTTTTAATATTTCTAACATTTTTTTTCAGTAATATAATTCAACATCTTGTTTAAATGACTATCTTCAAATTTTTATTTTCACCTCAAGTGCCTCCAACACACTCAAACTCATGGGGAGTTCTTTCTTTGATTATTGTATTCATTTTCATGACATTTAATGATTTTGTAACTTTTAGATTTGCAATTTTTCTTGAAACCTTTCTGTTTCATAATTTAATAACGCAATGAAGAAACCATAACATGTAGCCTGGTTATTAACTTTCTAAATGGAAATTTGACAAGCAGAACATGTTAAAGCATGAAAATAAAAAATTAACAATGTCTTGTTCATCTTTGCATGTTGCATTGCAACAGTAAGGTTGACAGTATACTTATAAAACCTTATTCATCACCATCACAGTATGTAAACTTTGCATACAACACTCAACTGTTGTTTTTCTAGGAATGTCATGAGCAGATCCGTGTCCTATCTCATCAAGCTGCAGCTAAAGTTAAAGAAGAAGGCTTAGAAAATGACTTGGTAGAGAGAATAAAAAGAAGTGCCTATTTTTCACCAGTTAGAAACAACCTTGACAGAATATTGGACCCCACAACATTTATTGGTAGAGCCCCTGAACAGGTAAATTAAAAATTCACACAACTACAGTAATGTACGTGTTTTGCTCAATTACCCACTTTTACCTTTTTTTTTTCTCTGCATGCTTGCTCATTGAAAACACAGACCACTTACTTGAATATCGACCACTGAC